TCTGTAGTCTATAGTCTACAGTACAGTACTCCCTACCTCGTTTTGCCTCGAGATGACGATGCGATAAGTCACATATGTACGCCTTTAGGTGTGATAATAGTGTTCGATGATGAGCATCGCCTTTATCAAGCTATGAAATTTTCTACTCCTCAGACTTCGTCATTCTCGAACGGTCGATGACCACTTTATCGAGATATTTTCATAGAAAACAATTTTATTGAGAGGTCATTGTCAACGTGAAAATAGGCGTGAAAGACATTCAAATTAGTTGCTAAAATATAATAAATTTTTGCACCATTGTGCGATTATTTTTAGACTTGTCTATTCAAATTTCTAGATACTTCAGCGAAACCTTTCGTCTCGTGTAGATTCACATGCAAAAGAATAGATTTCGCGATGTTTCTTTACACACGTACTCCGTGTAAATTGTGAATGAAATGAACACTAAAATTGAAAGCACACGTAAACGCTAATAATCTTTGTGTAATTTAATGTGTAATATAAATACTTTAAAAGCTATGCCGACCTTAAAAAATTTATATAACATCGATAAGCTTTACGATCAATGTAAACGTTTATTTTGCTCTCTCCTTAATGGGGAAATCTTCTCCAGATAGCCGTCGGACAGATACCTTTTTTTTTCGCTCGACCGCAAAGAGTCTATCGGCGGACGAGTTAAGTAAGGACGATTAATGTGCCATGCCGGATAATCGATTTTCCACAGTTCACGACGAACATTCTGTATACACTGTGCCAGATAAAATAGGATCCGCCCAACGAACGTAACGAAGTAACGAAGTTTGCTAAACCGTCGTCGCGCTCACCCCCGCGTGTATCCCCAGTCTCAAAATGTATCATCCCGCCGATAAACTGCCCCAGAAATCTCCGACTGAAGTCTTTTATTAAATGACGGGAATATTCGTCACGAGTACGTACTCGTAGTAAATTCTGTATCGACATTTCTGCAGAATAATCGTGTAACTGATATGTAACTGAAGTTTCAGAAACCGAAAAGAAATTTCGCAAATAAACTTCGTAAAGGAGAAGAGAGAGACATGCAAACTGTGTGTAAATAAATATTTACAGTTTTAAATCTTTCTTTTAAGTGCGGATCTTTCGGTGCGAGAAGTACTCTCGGTGAAAAATGCATTTTATAATGAAACTCGAGAAGCTGGAAAACGCTGGACCGCCCTATTCCGCTGTTTTAATTTAGAGCTACGCGATTGTTTCGCAACGCGCACATTTGCGGATTAACGTGACCCACATTTCCTTTTTAATTAAACCGGCTTTTTAACTGCAACCCGGAAAATAGTTTGCGCCACCATGTAAAATTAACGGGTCGTTTATCGGTTATCGTTTATGAAAGTGGGACGCGTGTAGGTACCGGCCATAATAAGATAAGGGGTAGCAGGTGACACGGTAACTTTACCGACGATAGCGATGATTTATGTCGGCCTGATGAAAGAGGGATGAAGGGAGAGCGAGAATATAGTTTCTTAAATTTAGAATTAAAAAAAAAAAAAGAAAATATGCGAAGCTTCTATGCAACTTTTATATACTTCTCTACTTATTCTACATAGTGAAAAAAGATATCGAGTCGGAAGATGAGCGGGGGAATAATCCCCATTTGTCTCGCCCGAGAGTGAATTGCAATCGCGATGAATTCCTCCCTCTCTCTCTTTGGGGGTCGAGACCGCCCGCGCTGTGTTTACAGAGCGGTTATAATCTCTATAGAATCAAACGTTACGTTTGTTCCAGAGGTG